CTGTTTTTTTTTTTTTTTGTGGTATGTCGTTTTGGAATGGGGGTGGGAGGTTCTGCTGTTACGCTGCGCTGCTGGCGCGGCGGGGATGAATCTGTGGGACTGCTTGAGCAGAAGGGCCTGCAGAAAAGGTGCATTGTTTGGGGCTGTACAAAACCTGCATTAGCAGCACTTGCTCATACCAGCAAACCGGCTGCTGTTGCTGGTGTGAAAAAGCTGGTTCTGGTGTGAGCAAGTGGCCAATCACACCTGTTACAGTAAGGTATGCTGATCTGATCACCTACCACTTTTTGGCTTGACCTGAAAAGAACAGCAAACCGGTCTGCTGACTCAGAGACATGAAAGCAGCATCCAGAACCCAGATTCAATAACAATGTCAAGAACAAAACAACGACAGAACCTGCAACAGCAACAAATTTGATCCACAGAGCACAATGGAGAGAATGTGAAAGCTTCGAGTACACAGCAAGCTGGACAGGACAGACAACAACAACAAAGAATTCAATGACTGCCATTGACCAACAAATTGACAGACGTCACGTGTGCAGAAACACTGTAAGGGACCACAAACTTGTCTTTGGAGTTCGACAAACTGCACACGAGCGACACGAGCGACAGCAGTACTCTGACGGCTGCAACGGGGGGTGCACATGTGTGCAGAAAACTTGGTCTTTTTCGCCATGCTAGAAGTTCAGAGGCGGAAGTGGAAGTTGGAGCAGCGGAAGAAAAGAAGAAGAAGAAGAAGAAGAAGAAGAAGAAGAAGAAGAAGAACAAGAAGAACAAGAAGAAGAAGTAGAAGGACAGTCAGAAATCGCAGCTCTACTACTAGGGTCCGCATCGAGGAAGAGGCCTATTCCCAATCCGGGTCTGTCTCGCCACCCGCCTCTTCCTCACTCGCGTCTTCTGCTCCTGTGGGGTCGTCCTCGACAACCTGCCAACGCCTCGACGTTGTTGCCTTCCCCTTTTGCGTGCGCTTGGGCCTTTCAGCAGGTGGACGAGGCGGTAGCTGCGCAGTTTTTGCCTCCCCCTTTCTCGGTCTCCCCCTACCGCGCTTCACCATTGGAGCAGCGGCGGGTTCGACAACAGTCTTTCGCTTCCTGCCCGCCCTGCTTATATCGATGTTGTCATGGACGAGAGTCTCGTCCAACTGAGGAAATGGAGGTGGACACTGCTCAAACTCCTCCCCCGCCGCCGGCTGCAAAGCCGTCGAATGCTGCTGATTGTTTGACGAATGCTGCTGATCAACCTGCAGCTTCTGCTGCTCTTCATCGCGCAACCGGTTCTCAGCCCCCAGCTCCTCCTGCTGTTCGTGATCAGGCTGCTGGTCAATCGGGAATTGATGTTCGCCAACCGGGAAGTGCTGCTGCTCGACCGGGAGGTGCTGTTGCTCGACCGGGAAGTGCTGCTGCTCGACCTGGAGGTGGTGCTGCTCGTCATGTTGCTGTCGCCCGGTCAACTGCTGCTGCTCAACCTGCGACTGCAGTTGTTCATGTGAATGCTGCTCCAGTTCGTTCCGCCGCTGGTTTCCCATGTGGTCGGGCTGTTGCTCGACCGGTTCTTGCTGCTGCACACCAGTTGTAGGACGTGGTAATTGCGCCCCCGACCTGGAACGCAGAGGAACACTCTCATGACGTGCGGCTTCCTCTTGAATGCGTTGCTGCACCAGGTCCCGGTCCCGGTCAGCCATGGCTTTTGCAGCAGCCCTGTCGACATCGTCAAGTGATCCCCCTCCCCCTGCGCATCGCTGCGGCTCCTCCGAACAGCACTCTACATCCTTGTCCAAGCTGCCCTCGTGAGCGTGACCAACAAAGGAGTCCATTAAACACACCGCATCATGTTCCTCTACATTCTCGATTGGCGGCGGCAGTGCACCGAAGTCAGGGTCACAGTCGTTGTCGTCGAACTACTCCTCGTCCACGTCCTCGTCGTCCTCGCTCTCCATCTCCATAACATCCTTCCCCTTCGCTGATTGTGGCAGCGGAATCATTGCCTTCTTCGGTTTTCCGCTCCAGATAATCTCCTCGTCGCTCGACTCCGTGTCCGAGTCATCTGACCCGCCCCCTACAGGAATCCTCCCCTTGGGGGTCTTCCTCAGGTTTGCTTGCCTCCGCAACTCCGCCTCATCCTCCACCAAAGGGCCTGGAAGAATTGGATCATCCTCAGGAGACGGAGCCTCCTGCTCATCGAAGAATGATGCCCAAACATCGATGAAACCATCCTTCAGACTCTTGGGGATGCACTGGAGCTGCATGTTCCAGTGGATGTACACCAACTTGGCCAAACTGGCGCTCGACAAGTTGTTCCTCCGCTTCGTATGTATCAGGTCCAATGATGACCAGTTCCTCTCACACGGTGTGGCTGTGCTCCACATCGCAATCACCCTCGTCGCAATCTTCTTTAGATCCGGATGGTTCTCCCCGTACGCCGACCACCACTCGGACGCTGTCTTTCGCTCAAGTGCGCTGTCGGCCACCCCAAAAGTGTCCCACATTGGCTCCTTGTGCATAAGTTCTTTGGGGGGCTTTTGATGGAAAGCCCAAAGACTTTGCCACACGTCCACGTGGTTTTGCTGCGAACCCCACCGTTCCCCTCCGAGTTGTGTGAGGAAATGCTTGATGGCATTCTGCACAAGGGGGGTGTTCTTGTCCAAAACCCAGCGCGGTTCCCGCCCCGTTGGGGACAACAAGAAGTTTGCAGCATGCACGGGCTGCCTCATCATCTTGCAGCGGTCGTCGACAATCCTCGTAATCTCTTTCTCCTGCTGCGTCGACAGGCCACGAATGCTGCGCAACCGGCCTTGGAGCATCTCCCCAAAGCCTCACAAAGACGATGGTGCCACTCCATCCCGGTTCATCCGCCTCAGAAGCTCATTGACCGGCCGCATGACAAGGACAATTTGATAGACCTCCTCCCACCATTGACTCGATCGAACTGTGTGATATATCTTGTCCGCCTTCTCCCTCAGCTCCGTCGAGCTCCAGTGAATGTTCTTCCAGCCTCTCTCCATCATCTCCTCAAGCACCCCTCTCCTGTCTTGAAGTTTGTTCAACATCTCGAACGTGGATGCAAACCTGACCTCCGTGGGCATGACCAGGGTCTTCTTTTCCTCGAACGAGCAAGCAGAGAACAGGGCAACTGTGCGATGGTGGTTCTTGATGAACTTCACCATCATCTTTGCCCTCTTCACTATCTTGCTCACCCACGACAATTTCGAGATGTCCTTCAACAGCAAGCTCAGTGTGTGCGCAGCGCATGGCACCCGAGGGATCTTTGCAATGTTCGGATCTGCGCTTCGTGACAGGATCCTCGCGGCCCGTTTGTTCACTCCAGCATTGTCTGTGCAGATTGCGTTTACCCTGTGCACGCCTATCTCCCTTATGACCTCCTCCCACAACTTGGCAATCGCCGCGGCGTTCGTCTTCCTGTGGGTCATGTCGACCACTTTGAGCAACACAGCACCGCCCGCCCCCGCGCCGATGAAGTTCAAGACAGGCCTCCACTTGCGATCTGCCGTGCCATCTGTGATGAGAGTGCAGCCTGATACGCCCCACTGGTCGATCAAGGGCTGCACTGACGTCTTCACCTCCTCGTAGACAGCATCCAGAATGACAGTTCTCAAAGTATCAAACGATGGCATGTCCACCTTCGCTTTCGCGGCCCCCAACTCCATGTATAAGTCGTGAAGAGCCCGTGTCTCGTCCACGCGCACAAAATTGAAGGGGATGCCGGAGCGGAACAATGTCTTCCCCCATTGCATGTCGAGTCTCTTTTGGGCCGTGTTCTCAGTCCACCTTCGGATGGAGGTCTGTCTTGTCTTCCCTGGCTTAACGGCTGACGAAGAGCCCGCACAGGAGGGCGCTACAACGGTGGCGGGTGGCTCCTTCGTCGTGTCAAGATCAACGTCAACCTCACTCCGCCGTGCCTCTCGCCCGGGTGCGGGCGGAGGCCTCAAGTGTTGCTCAATGTTGTCGACTGTGCTCTTGTCAGCATTCCGCGATGGCTCCATTCCTGTGTCCTCCGCAATGCCCTTCTCCACCCTATACTGATGGAGCATCCTCTTCGCCGCGTCCCCCACAATCTTAACCCCTCTCTGTGCAAGCAAATGCAGTATCTCCCCGGACCTGTACGGGCATGGTTTGCCTGTCTTCAAGAAGTGCTACACCGCCCGCGTCTTTGAAGCTGTGAACGTTTGGGTGCATAGTCTGCACCGGACCCAGTACTGCCCGTGTCCCTTCGGCTCTGCTTCCTGCCCCCGTTCTATCCATCGGTACACGACATTGTCCTTCTGCAACTCCGTTTGTTTCTCCTCCGGCAGCGGCTCAAACGCTGGCCTGGCAGCCATTGCTGATTTGCTGCCTGTCGAAGTTGCAGTGGCCTTGCCCTTGGCCTTGCTCGCTGCACTGCTCGTCCCAGCTGCCGAGGCCATAGCTCGTGCTTCTCGAAAGAAGAAGAAGAAGAAGAAGAAGAAGAAGAAGAAGAAGAAGAAGAAGAAGAAGAAGAAGCACGAGGACGGGGAGTCGAACAATGAAGGGACAAAGCCTCGAAGGATTCCAAACGGGACCGCGATCACAGTGAGGGCACGGGTTCACAACTGGCAACTGCATCGCAGAAGGCAGAACACAATCCCGGAAACAAGTCAGGATTTGTACAACGATGACTCAACGAGGGCACAAGACAATGACGGCATGTGACAAACATGAACAGACATCCACGAAGGCATAAAGCGACCTTCAGAGAGAAGACAACAAAAATTTAAAATGGGATCACATCCCATCAGATCTGATGTGATCAGATCACATCTCATCAGATCTGATCACATCAGGTCTGATGGGATGTGATCTGATCACATCAGATCTGATGGGATTTGATCCGATCACATAACATTTGACACGGTCCTCCCCCATTTGCCCGGCCGCTGCTGTAAAAAAAAAAAAAAAAACAAAAAAAAAAAACTCCGTTCGTCCTCCTCCGTTGTTCCTCCTCCTTCTCGTCGTCGTCCTCCAGTCTTCTCCTTCGTTCGTCCTCCTCCTCGTTGTCGTCCTCCTCCAACCTTCTCCGTACTCATCCTCTTCCTCCAAACTTCCCTTTAGTCCTCCTCATCGTACTCCTCCATTCGGGGTCCTACTCCGCCACCCCTCTCCCTGGTCGTTCTTCACCTCTCTCCCTCCTTGTCCTCCCCCTCTCTCCTTCCTCGTCCTCGTCCGGTCCCGCCATGCGGCCGTGCCTGAACCCCTCCGCCATCTCATCGACCCCCCCACTGCCTCCCAAACAAACACTGAGGAAGAAGAAAGGGGGAGGAGGAAGAAAGGACGAGGAGGAAGAAAAGAGGACGAGGAGGAAGGAGGAGGAGGAAGAAAGGAGGAGGAGGAAGACTGGTGGAGGACGAGAGGAGGAGGATGACAGGACGAGGAGGAGATTAAGGAAGAAAGGAGGGCGAGGAGGAGGAGGGAGAGAGGAGGAGGACGAGGAAGATTGGTCGAGGGGTTCGGGCACGGGACCGGATGAACCCAAGACGAATCGAAAAGGTTGCGTGGCGGCGGACGAAAAAAAAAAAAAAAAAAAAAAAAAACGAATCAAAAAGAGCGGAGGAAGGAGGAGGAAGAAAGGACGAGGAGGAAGAAAAGAGGACGAGGAGGAAGGAGGAGGAGGAAGAAAGGAGGAGGAGGAAGACTGGTGGAGGAGGAGAGGAGGAGGATGACAGGACGAGGAGGAGATTAAGGAAGAAAGGGGGAGGAGATGGAAGATGAGGAGAAGAAGTGAGGAGAAACGAGGAGGAAGAGGAGGAGGAGGTGAGGGAAGAGGAGGAAGAAAGCAGGAGGAGGAAGACGAGGGGGGACGAGGACGAAGAGAGCAGGAGAACGAGGACAACGAAGATAAGAGCTGGCGGAAAAAAGCCGAGGAGGGAGGAGAGTGATGGTGTGTGACGTGGCGATGAAAGCCGAGGGAGGAGGAGAGTGTAGGTGTGGGGCAACGAAGATAACACGGAGTTCGAATTCGAACCCCGTGTGAAAAAAAGTGGAGGATTAAGGAAGAAAGGGGGAGGAGGAAGAAAGGAGGAGGAGGAAGAAAGGAGGAGGAGAGGAGGAGGAGGAGATCAAGGAAGAAAGGGGGAGGAGTAGTAAGATGAGGAGAAGAAGTAAGAAGAAGCAACGACGAGGAGGAGGAGGAGAAGGAGGAGGAGGAGGAGGTGAGGGAAGAGGCGGAGCATGAGGAGGAGGAAGACGAGGGGAACGAGGACAAAGAAAGCCAGGGGAGGAGGAAAGTGATGGTGTGCGACGTGGCGACGGGAGGAAGAAAGGGGGAGGACGTGGAGGAGGAGGAGGAGGAGTAGGAGGGAGAAAGCATGCGGACGAAGGATGAGGAGGAAGAAACGAGGACGCGGAGGAGCACGAAGGAGGAAGAGAAGGAGGAGGAGAAGGAGGAGGAGGAGGAAGGGAGACTCACCTTCGGGCGATGGCCTTCACGAACGAGTGGCGCAGCAGCGATGAGCAGCAGAGCACGACACGCGGGGGCACAGCCACAACGACGACGACGAGGAGGAGCACTTCGCGCGCGGGCCACAAACAGGAGGGGAGGCTGGATGCTGCCTGAGCACGGACGTCGAATTCGAACTGGGCGGAGTTCGAATTCGAACCCCGTGTGAATGAGAGCCGTTGATCTTCGACGATCAATGGCGCAGATGTAATCGCAAAAAAAACAGGGTCCTGCAGGGCCCCCATTTTTTTTTTTCGCGCCGGTAGTTCATCTGGGCCATATTCAGTGCGCAGGGCCGAAAAAACGAACGAAAAAGACCCCCCTGGTATTTTGCGCTGGGGCGCCCGGTGGTTGGACCGGGCGGGTTCTGGGCGGAGGAGGGTGCCCGTGCCGCACGGGACGTAGCCTAGATGCACATGAATTTCAAGGCATTCTGCTGAGCCAAAAAAAAATGAAAAATCATCAAAGATGGCGGTGTTAAAACGTGCTCGGCTACACAGTTTTTTTTTTTTTTGTTCACTTTTCACTTTTTGTTGTGATTTTATTTTGATGCCTCAAACATTTTATTATTTTTTGAAAAATTTTGCATGAGTTTTATATTATGTGAAGTACACATATGTGAAGTTGCAGGTCATTTGGCGATGCCAAAAAAGAAAGAAAAATAGCCGAAGATGGCGATGTCGAAAACGGGCTTGCGCACTCACTAATTTTAATTCTCTAATTTCTGTTGAAATAGGTCATTATTTTTTCATTCTTAGCATTTTTGTTGCATTAGCCTACAAAAAAAATAATCTATCTTTTTTTTGTTCACTTTACTTTCTCGTTTTAACCATCTGTTTTTTTAGCTTTTTGTTTTGTTGCCTTTGGATTCACAGTTACAAAAAACCCGTTCGGAACCACTCGTTCAATCCTCTTAGAATAACACGAAATTTTATTTTTCTTTTTTTGAGAGTGTTTGTTTTAATACGCGAGCAACGCAGGCTTTTAGAGTCTGGATAGCTTTTTATGAGGTTGCACTGGGAGCCAGTGCTTGTTATATCAAATTCGCACCATGGATTTTGTCAGAAATGTTTGATGCTTCTTGGGGTTTTCTGTTTGATACTCATTTTTTCTTATTTTTCTTATTAGTATTTATTTTCCTTTTTTTATTTTTATTTCACATTTGGTAAGGAATTTGGATGTAATGCTCAGGCAAATGTTGTTTAGTTT